AGAGAGAGAGAGAGAGAGAGAGAGAGAGAGAAAGTTGATAAGAGAAACACGCCAAATCAGCCAATCGCCGAGCTGAATAATTATGGGGGCTGAAATTTACACTTGAAAAACTTCTTTGTCAAAAGGAGCCAGAATACCCACATTGTAGATCTTCCAAATATTTGGACTATTACTTCACACGCTAATAAGTCTAGAAGACCTTTGAAGCACATTATGTCATTATGTTTTACCGAGAGAGAGAGAGAGAGAGAGAGAGAGAGAGAGAGAGAGAGAGAGAGAGAGAGAGAGAGAGAGAGAGGGGGGAGGCAGAGACAGAGACAGTCGAGACAGAATACAAAAAGCACGTAGATCTAGATAACACCCCAAAAAATCCAAAATGGATCCCCCCTCTCTACCCCACCACCCTCCAAACCCTCCCCCAGTTGGCCTACAAGGAAAGTTCATGACGCAATGAGTTAGGCTGTCTTGGACAGACGTATGCAAATGAGGATGCAAATCATAGCACAAAGGGTTAGTGGGTCTTTGCTTCGTGTATTACTACGCCAAAAATATATCGTCTGTCACAACCGCCAGACATCGCACAGGCAATCTCAGATCGTTTTGTACACGGAGAGACTGATAGCCGGGGTGAGTGTGAGTAAAGAGAAGGGCATAGAATGAGGAGATAACGGTTTTGGGTATGAGGGAGAGGGAGTGATAGAGAGAGAGAGAGAGAGAGAGAGAGAGACAAAGAGAGAGACACAGAGAGAGATAGAGAGAAAGAGACAGACAGACAGACACACAGACAGGCACACAAATAGTCAGATAGCTGGGGTGAAAGTGTGAGTAAAGAAAAGGGCATAGGATGAGGAGATAAACGATTTTTGTGTATGAGGGAGAGGGAGAGAAAGGGAGAGTGCAAGAGAGGGGGGGTAGGGAGAGAGAGAGAAAGAGAGAGAGCGACGGAGAGACAGATGGACAAACAGAAAGACAGATAGCGGGGGTGAGTGTGAGAGAAGGGCGTAGAATTAGGAGATTACGTGTTCTTTTTGTGCATGAGAGAGAGGG